GATAATGGCCCGGCCAGCGTGGCTCAGTGGTCGAGCTTCGACCTATGAACCAGGAGGTCACGGTTTGATTCCCAGTCAGGGCACAGGCCCCGGTTGCACGCTCCAGCCCCAGTGAGGCAGGGGGAGGGCATGCAGGAGGCAGCTGATCCGTGAGCCCCCCCATCACTGATGTTTCTATCTCTCCTCTCTGAAATCAATAAAAATACATATTTTTAAAAATAATGGGGCCCTAACCGGTTTGGCTCAGTGGATAGAGCGTCGGCCTGCGGACTCAAGGGTCCCAGGTTCGATTTTGGTCAAGGTTGCGGGCACATCCCCAGTAGGGAGTGTGCAGGAGGCAGCTGATCAATGTTTCTCTCTCATCAATGTTTCTAACTCTCTGTCCCTCTCCCTTCCTCTCTGTAAAAAAAAATCAATAAAATATATTTTAAAACAATAATGGGGGATACTAACCAGTAACCGACTGCAGAGGGTGGTCGGGGGATTCAGCGCTAAGCCTGTAGGATGCTCGCCGTGGTCCCATGGCACGGGGGGAGCACCCAGTGAATTCCTGTTCGCTGTCGTTGCTGAAACAAAGGCCCAGTATTTTTGCTGCCATTTCCGGAAGGTTCCGTTTCAGGTCCACAGCGTGGGTCACGGACTGTGCAGGCCATCATCCGGGATGGCGGGGAGCGGGGGGGTGCCCAGCAGGGTGACTGTGCTAGGCTAGTGCCACTGAGCTGCACGCGGTTGAAAGGGGATCTGTGCTCCTCTAAGCGCGACCTGCCCCCCGCCCCCCGCCCCCCCGGATCAGTGTTTGTTACGAGCTGTAAAGGCCTCTGAGCACTGTGAGACGGACAGAAGCGGGGGATCAGGAAGAAGCTGTGGCAGGAAGGCCCGGGACAGGTTTATGACCAGCGAGTTGCCGTCCGCCTCTGCCAGATCAGATTTGCTACGAGCAGGGACAGGACGGGCAGGGAGGCGGGCGGGGCAGGGTGCCAGCGTGTGGGCTCAGTGGCGGAGCAGAGGGGCTCTGGGGATGAACCTGGCAGCCGCGTGTGGGCGGGATTAGCAGTTGGCGCAGGGACATTCCCGAAGCCCAGGTCTCGGGGATGCGGAAGGGCAGGTGAGAGGAACTTGGATTGGAGCTCAGGTTCTGGAGAGGAGGCCGGCTGCGGGCTCCCTGCCACCTCGGTGCCTTGGTGGGGTTGTCCCACCCCTGCCCCTACCCACTGGAGGGGCCCTGCAGCCTCACCCTCCGGACTCTCCCCACCCCCTCCATCACTGACACGTGGTCCCTACGCCTCTTCGATGACTCTCCTGGGGCACGACACATGTTGTGTAAGTCCGTCCCTGCCCCGTGGCCCTGCTGAGCCTGGGACGTGTCTATCCCTGTCCTCGCACCCAGACGCTGCCTGGCCCACGGGAGGTGCCGAGTGCTGCTGAGTGAGTGGAGGGAGCGGGCCGGGGCGGGAGGGGTCACAGAGACCCGCGCCAGCCTGGGTGTGGGGGCACACAGGGCAGTCACACTGTCTGGCTGGCACATGGGGAGCCGCGGGGGCCACATTTGGGGGCCAACTTCCTCCCAGTGCTCGTTGCAACCGAAGGGACTGTAAGAGGTTGAAAGGTCACCAGGAGGGATTATGGGCTGGGAGGAGGAGGGCGGTGGCATCAGAGGGCGGTGACCTCCTTTGCGGACGGGCCGACATCCTCCTGTCCGGGGCCCCGGCAGCCGGCGGACTGGCCGGAAGAGGAACCAGGAGGAGACCCGACTGGTGGCCTCCGTCACGTGCGGAGCTGATGGCTCCGGGGCTCAGCCGACGCGGTTGCTTATTTACTTGGCTTTGGCCACGGGATTGGAGCGGGCGGTGGGGGGGTGGCAGGTACACAGGGCAGGCTGTCTGTCGGGCTCTGCGGCAGCCTCTGCTCACACGCGCGATCTCGGATGCGGCTGGGAGCCCTGCGGTTTATCTCCTCGGCCCCGTGGGGTCTCAGCTTCCATCGTGGGCGGGAGGACTGTCTGACCCAGTGGTGCAGGGCAGGGAGGTTCTCGGTGGGGCTTCTCCACGGGAAGGAGGAGGTAGACAGGTGGGGTGGCTTGGTCGTCACCAGGTTACCCTGCAGCTTGGGATTGTGGGAGCCTTTGGTTTCTGTGCCGAAGAGTGGGTGCGAAAGGCCGACTTTGGGATAGTTTGTGTCAGTACAAGCAGCGGCCTGTGGTTAATGCTGCTTCCAAATCGGGTCTTTTGTGACGGCCAAGGTTATCGAAGGCACCTGGAGGCTACATTGCTACCCGTGGCCCAGTGCTGGGGTGGCCACCGGTCAGCACGTCCGTTAACCTGGCACAGCTGAGGTCGAGGACGACGTGAAACCGCTGAGCCGCGTAGCTCCCCTCTAGGGTAAAGCGGTGTGCGTGTGCCCCAGTAGTGATACATACAGGCGTGCCCCAGCGGGAGGGAGTCACAGTGAGTCTGGACTAGGGAGACCACAGGGAGGGTTTCCTAGGAGGTGCCCCTGAGCCGGGACTCGGGGTGGGTTACTCAGATCAGGAGGGAGAGGGCTTCCGTAGGGCATGGGCGGGCAGCAGGGACCAGGGCGGGGCCGGGTGGGGGGACAGGCCGAGGGGCAGGCAGAGACAGGTGGCCTCATGCCTCTAGCCCAGGCCTGGCAGTTCCTGTGGAGGACGTGGGCAGCCAGTGGGCGGGGGTGGGGGTCAGACAGAAAGCAGGCAGAGCCGTTGGAGGCCGGAAAACGATGGATCAAAAGGCCTCTGGGTGGCCAGTCCCGACGTGGGCGGCTTTCCCCGGGCGCCAGCGCAGCCGGTCTCGCTCTGCTCGCAGTTCAGGGAACGGCCTGAGTCCTGCGGTTTATCCGCCAATGGCAGATTCTTAAGGGTGTCGGGAAAAGCCAGAACACCGCCAAGAAGTAAGTGATAGAAAAGGAGGAGCCAGATTATAAAAAGCTGCACAAAAATGGAAGGGCGGCTGGTAAGCCTCGTGGTTACGACGGGCCTGGGTTGCTAGGAAACCATGGACACCGATTAACCTCCCAACGCGCCAGTTTGCTTATCTTTAAACGGGAGCACTGTGATACCGGGGAGCTGTCTGCGGTGGCAGGGCTCCGTGAACTGCTGAGCCCAGGGCGTGGCGGTAGCAAGTGCCCGGGAGCCAGGAGCGGTCAGTGGTTGGGGCCACTTGGGGGCGTGCTTCCCGTGGAGGCCGGATTGTGTGGGTGCTCACGGAGATTCCTTAAAGGGGTTCCCTAGTAAGCGGAGAGCAGAGCGGTGGTGAGGTCAGAGGGTGTCCCTTTGTCTTGCTTTGTTTGGTCCGCCTGCCAGGGGAAGCTCCCCGAGGGGCACGTGTGGCAAGTGCTTATTTAGGGGATAAGCCGCCATCTGCTTCCATAGCCCACGGCACGGGCTTATCACAGATGGTGCCTAGTTACTTGTTATTCATTCGCAAGGTCAGTTCTGCCTCATCAGAGGCGTCCTGCCTTCTCCGGTTAAAAGGGCAGGGAAGCCCTGGCCGGTTTGGCTCAGTGGATAGAGCAGTGGCCGTCAAACCTCGGCTAGCGAGCCACATGCGGCTCTTTGGCCCCTTGAGTGTGGCTCTGCCACAAAATACCACGTGCGGGCGCGCACGTACAGTGCAAAGTTGACTTAAAACTTTAAAGTTTATTAAGTTAATTTTAGGGAACGTTGTGGAGTGAAAGAAGATGTAGTGTCGAGGATGGAGAAAGGTATGTTGAGATGGTTTGGACATATAGAGAGGATGAACGAAAGGAGGTAGACGAAACAAGTACACAAGACGAGTGTGGATGGGAGAGTTGGAAGGGGTCGACCTCAGCGAACGTACCTCAATCAGATTGAGGACGTTCTTAGCAAAGGCCAGCTTAGGAGTACCCTAATGAAGTTAATAACATTGTACCTACCTATATAGTGTAAGTTTAAAAAATTTGGCTCTCAAAAGAAATTTCAATTGTTGTACTGTTGATGTTTGGCTCTGTTGACTAATGAGTTTGCCCAACACTGGGATAGAGCATCGGCCTGCGGACTGAAGGGTCCCGGGTTCGATTCTGGTCAAGGGCACATTCCCCAGGTTGCAGGCTCCATCCCCAGTTGTGGGCATGCAGGAAGCAGTCAGTCAATATTTCTTTCATCATTGATGTTTCTCTCCCTCTCTCTCTCTCTCTCCCTCTCCCTTCCTTTCTGAAATCAATAAAAATATACATACACACACATACATATGTATATGTCCTATATAATAAAAGCACAGTATGCAAATTGTCCTCAACCAGGGGGTGGGCCGGCCGGGGAAGGGAGAGAGGCCCCGGCCAGCAGCCGCTGGGGACCCTATCAGTGCACGAATTTTTTAAAAAAAGTCAGGGAAATATATAGTATTTTAAATTTCTGATCCCAACAGACCAAATCTAATAACATTTTTTATGTGTTATTATAGAATAGAAATTTAATTACAGAAAACTGGAGAGGAAAATATACAATCACATGTAATAGCACCACTCAGAGCTGACTGTTAACAGACATTTCATACGTTTTCTTTCTTTCTCCGCCAGGATCATTATGTATATACCTTTTTCTGTTTGTTTTGTGTTATTCGCTGGGCCTTTTCTTACCAGAATATAAGAAAATGGCTAGTGGTTGAGCATCGACCTGTGAATCAGGAAGTCATGGTTGGGTTCCCAGTCTGGGCACATGCCCGGGTTGTGGGCTCAATCCCCAGGAGCGGGTGTGCAGGAGGCAGCTGGTCAGTTATTCTCTCCCATCATTGATTGATCTTTCTATCTCTCCCTCTCCCTTCTTCTCTGAAATCAATTATAAAAAAAAAAAATGTATCTGGGCAGTTTTTTTATCAGAATGTTCTTCCATGACATTTAAAATATATATGTATTTCTTTATTGATTTCAGAGAGGAAGGGAAAGGGAGAGAGAGAAACATCAATGATGAGAGAGAATCATTGATCGGCTGCCTCCTGCACGCCCCCCACTGGGGATCGAGCCGGCGACCCAGGCATGTGCCCTTGGCCGGAACCGAACCCGGGACCCTTCAGTCCGCAGGCCGACGCTCTATCCACTGAGCCACACCGGCCAGGGCTTCCATGGCATTTTTAATGGTCACATGATATTTCACTGTGTGGCTGTGTCTTAATTTACGTGGCCATTCCCTTGCTCTAGGATATTTAGCTGCTCTTTTTTTGTTGTTGCTCTCATGTTATATTACAGTTAACACCGGTGAACATACATCTATTAAAGTATTTTTTGAAAATAAGTCTTAAGTATTTAGCCACTTTTAGTTAGAACATCTGCTTCCCTGGATCAGGTATAATTGCAAAGTGGTTTGTTTGTTTTTTGGTTATGAAATTTAAGTAGAATAGCTGGTTCTCCTTCGATTCATCCCTTTCTTCTTTAGCCACAGACTTAAAAAATAAAATTCCCTTCTTAGAATAGCATTTTCTCACATTGACTGGGAGATGGGTAATTTCAAGCACGTGAGAGTGAGTGTTATCTGTTAAACGAAACTCGAAACTCAAGTCGGGTGGCGGGAAGTGCGTGAGGGTCAAGCTGCGCTTTGCACGTCAGAGCACAGGTAGTTGGGGGGTGGGGTGCAGAGCCTTAGCGAGAAACCCAGGACCCGCTGGCTGCACCTGTGTCAAGGCCCCGGCACACCCTGAGCTCTGCGCACACACGGCTGCTTTGGCTGCTGGTCCCGGCCAGAAACTGCTACTGAGAAAAACCGGGTTTCGAAATTGCCTTCCGTTACGCGGCGGGGAGGAGGGGCCATTCATTGACCTCCTTGCACTAAAGCAGGCCAGGGATTGGCCCTGTCCGTCCCTTTATCCAATATGATTGCGTGCCCCCCCAACCCCCCACGACCGTGACCATGACCGTGACCGGGTGGCAGGCATTTCTGCTCCCACCAGGCAGCTGCACCTCTACCCAGAGTCGAGCGTGTTTGCTCTCAGACCGGTTGTTCTGGTTTGGCAGTCACAGCCGTGCCACGATTCCATTCAGTACTGTGGCAGCTGCTGAGCCACCGGCGTGAGGAGAGGGAAAAGTGGGCGCAGGGCAGCACCCACTGCCTGCTGCTCGAGGAGAAAGCAGCTGGAGAACCAGGGGCAGGCCAGCTTGGGGGGAATCGGGGAATTCTAGATGCCGCTCGCCCTGCCCGTCCCGCGCCTGGCAGCTCTCCGCGGGCGAGGCCGCCGTCCGGGCAGAAACACTTCCGTCACTCGAGCTGGTGGGTGCTTCCTTTCTAGGAAGAGACCTTTGTCCCCAACCGGGGGTGGGGAGCCCTTTTGGCCAAGGGCCACGTGGGTATTTCGAACATCACTCGCGGGCCATACAGAATGATCGGCTCAAAAAATAGCCTGTATGTGGCCAAACATTTAATCGACTCTCCCCGATGCCTCGGCTGGGCCCGGCCAAATGATTCCGCGGGCCTCCTACAGCCCGTGGGCCGGACGTTCCCCACCCCTGCCTCCCAAGGAGAAAAGGGGCAGGTGTCTTTATGATTTTGTTTATTCAGTGATTCCCTGTTTCAAGCAAACTGCTCGGTGAGCCGGCAGCTAACTGGTTCCGATGGTCGTGGGTGAGGGCTCTCGGGGCTTCCCTGGCCCCCCTGCTGACACCGGGCTCTGTGGCCAGGTGGGCCCGGCGTGCGGAGCCCTGGCCGGGAGGAGCCTGGGACGAGGCGGTTCCCTGTGATCAGCTGAGTGTCCCCTCCACACCCTGCCCTCCTCCTCCTCCTCCTCCCCTTCCCCCACCCTTCCCCCCCCCCCCCCAGAGCCCCAGGCCTTAGAAGGTCAGTGCTGGTCTCCAGTGACAGTCACAGCTCGGACAGTTCTCGGAACCGCACACCTGTAATAGCCACATCATCCAGGAAGGGGCAGGGCTAGGGCTGTTTTCTCTGAATATTAGCTAATGAGGCTTCCAGGGAAAAGCAACAGCAGAAACGCCCGGAATAGGGTTCCGCCAGGACTAGGAGGCCATCCGTCCAGTTGTGTGAGCCCGAGACCACCTGCCTCTGTCCGGGCGGCCCATTGGTTTTCCAGCCCAGCCTTTGCCTGTGTGCGGTCACTAGCCCTCAGAGGGAGGGACGCACTGATTTCAGGTTCGAGCCAGCCCCACGCGGAGGGGCGGTCCGGGCGACACCCCACGGCCTGCTGCTCTCTGAGGGCAGCCGGTTCTGTCTCAACCAGCGGGACTTCGGGTCTTCAGTCAAAAACAGCCCCCTCGGCCTCTCGGTTCTGCCTGTCGCGTGGGGTGCTCTGGTGGGAGGTTCGATGAGCCGCTGGCCCCGTCCTTCCCCGCAGGCTGCAGTCCGGGGACGGTTTCCCACGCCCACGAGGTTGCCGTCTTTTAGGGCGTTTCATCGTGCTTGCGGCGTTCTCGCTGTATTGTCCCACATCTTTCACCTTGGTAACATGCTGCACAGTCCGACTCTGCAGCCACTGCGGGTTTTTGGTTTTTTATGAAAACTCAAAGGAACGCTTGGGAAGCACCGCGGGCGTGTGGGTAGCACGCAGCTCTGGGCACGTGCGGGCTTGGGGCACAGGGTCCACCTGGAAGCCGCGGGGAGATGAGCTACCCCGGACAGGTGTTCTCACGGAATGGGGGAGGAATTTGGGCTTCCTAATCCCCTGACCTTTCAAATCCAAGGCCACACTCACAGTGCAGGTGGTGCTGCTGGAATTGACCTTGAAGTAACTGGCGAGCTCGAGCAGGTGCAGCACAATGAAGGCGACGAGGTTAAGCTGGCGAACGCCTGCCAGCCTTTCATCACCTAATCCGCGAGCCGGCGGTTTAAAGTCCCGTGCAACCCAACCTTTGCTGCCGTGGAAAACCACGGCAGGCTTGTCTCCGCCTTTGTCTCTGGGCTATAGAGAACTGTCCGTTTAATGTTACCTGGAGAGGAAAATAGCAAAATCCAAAAGGAACCGGTATGTCTCCGAGGGAGGGCCAGTCTGGGTCAGGGACAGCACAGCCCAGATGGGTCTGGGGCCACACACAGGGCAGAGAACTGTCAGCCCCAGGGTCAGCTGCTGGCCAAGTTGGAGTGTCCCCCGCTTGGCTCTGGACTTTGAGCATCAGAAAAATGAGGGACTACCCCCCAGCAAGCTTATTGGTCATTTTTCAAGGTTGCTTGAGCATTGAATCAATCTACTAAACATGGGTTACAACGGGGAGGGCAGGGGTGGGCGGAATCAAACAGTTATCCTGCTCTTTAGCCCTGGCCGGTTTGGCTCAATGGAGAGAGCATTGACCTGTGGACTCAAGGGTCCTGGGTGCAATTCCAGTCAAGGGCATGTACCTCAGCTGCGGGCTCGATCCCCAGCCCTGGTCAGGGCATGTGCAAAGGCAACCAATTGATGTGTCTCTCATATTGATGTTTCTCTCTCTGTCTCTCCCCTTCCCTTCCACTCTCTCTAAAAATCAGTGGAAGAATATCTTCAGGTGAGGATTAACAACAACAAAACAACATTTATCCCGGTTTTCCTATAGAAACCATTTCAGATACTCAAACCGAGGAGGCAAAAAGCTCTCTACAGAAGAATTCCAGCCCTCACGCACAGAAGACGAAATTAAATAATTACTGTTAACTTTAGGAAGTGTGATTGTGGCCTGTAGTGAGAATTACAGTCCTTGCCCATTAGAGATACATATTAAAGACTTTAAGCCTGCAGTGATCAGGTGGCTGAGATTTGCTTTAAGCCCTGAAGCGAGCTTGGGAATGGTGCTGCCTGTGGACCTGGGGAAGGTCCACAGGGACTCCTGACACGTCTCCCGGCTCTGCTCTGTGCTTGACGATATCCGCAATGAAAAGGTAAATCAGAGATAAATAGAAGTGAAACGCAGGCCATTCCTGGGACTTGAAAACAGGGAAATGATAGTAGACTGGACCGTCAGTGGCAGAGAGCAGCTTTCCCAGCGTAATTTACACACAGTCCTGTAGAAACACGTCGAGAGAGACGGTCCTCACACGTGGCGTCGGAGCCCTGGGGTTCCTCACGACACCTGGGACTTTGCTGGTCTCTGACGGCAGCACCTCCTCAGGTTGCACCTCCTCCTTAGAGAAAGGGGGACAGGTCTGTCCAGCCCTCCGCCTCCGAGAGGAGGGGATGGAGGTGATGCGTGGAGAGGGGGTCGCAGGGCCAGGCCTGCAGGGAGTGCTCAGCAAGCGCTGGCCGATCCTGCTGAGGTGGAGGCTGTCCCATCACCGGTGACGCACTCACTCGCATCTTTAAATTCACATCTGTTTTGATTTTGTTTTCTCTTTCCGGCCTTTCATGGGAAGAGCAGGTGCAGTCTGTGTTGGGGGGGGGGGCTGCGGGCGGGGGCTGCAGTGCAGGGCGAGCGCCGCGCAGCCCACGGGCCTGTCTCCGTGGACGGTCGTGAGGGCCTGCTGTGTTCTGGCTGCCGCCTCCCCAGAGCCTGGCACGGAGAGGTGCTCCATACGTGTTTCCTGAAGTTCGTGAGTTTTTTAACGGATGTGTGAGTTTCGGGGCAGCGAGGCCGTCGTCGTCGCAGCCTCGCTCTCCCGTGGTCCTGGCACAATCTCCAAAGACGGGGGGCCACGTCCTGCCACCGAGAAAGGTGTGACGGTGTGAGGCCGGCTCGCGTCCAGCGTGTCTGCATTCTCTGCCTTAGCGGGAGTTTGCTTTAAGGCAGTCACCGCATCATCCGAATTCTTCCCTTTCCGGTTCACCGCCAAACCATGGCCCGCCGTGCGAGCGAGGAAAGCCGTTTCCAGCCCCCAGCGGGTGGTGTGTAGTGATGGTGTGTCTGTGGTGCTGCTGTGGAGCAGTGTATGGTAAACATTTAGGAAGCTAATCTCCAGAGCAGTTTAGCAAGTTAACAGTTAACCGACAGTGGCCTGAGGCCCGAGGTCCTGATCCCTGCAGATTAGGCTGAGGGGTGTTTAGAGAGAGGCCTGTTGGCCGGGGTCAGGTTCTGGGCCTTGGAGTGAGCACTCGATTCTCTTAAGGGGGCGTGTGAGCTCCCATGTCATTTTATTTAACCGGGAAAGCCCTGCTGGTTTCGTCAGCCAGGCTCTGGCAAGACGGCCCCCAGCTCAGCGACTTGAGAGGCGAGTCCTAAAGGTGCGCTTCACCAGGAAACCTGGGCGTAGACCCCAGGGCCGGGGCAGGCCTGGCCTTGGGGGTGTGTTGCCTCCAGACCCCAGGGGTGGAGAGAACAGAGAGGGAGAGAGGGCTGCTTTGAATGGGGAGATGGGTCTGGCCACCTACAGTCACCCCATGGGGAGGGGACCCAGAGAACCCCATCCTCAGTCCCCATCGCCAAGTCCAGCAAGAACTAGAAGGCAAGGGGCCTGTTGAACTGGTCCTGGGGCCCAGCTCAGCCAGTTGGCCCCTGGGGCACAGAGCAGGATGGAGACAGACGGACATTCCAACACCGTGTCAGTGCCCTGGGGCTGCCACAACAAGGACTACAAATTTGGTGGCTTAAAACAGGGATAGGGAATGTCTGGCCCTCGGGCCACATAAGGCCCCTGAAATCACTTGGCCGGCGAAGGCATTAGGGGCGAGTTAATTAAATGCTTGACCAAATACAGCAGGCTACTTCTTAAGCTGGTAATTTGTATGGCCCACGAGTGATGTTATAAATATCCAGGAAAAGGGTTCCCCGTCCCTGGCTTAAAACAAGAAAGCGACTCTCCCAGTTCCAGAGGCCTGAGGTCTGAAACCGGTGCCCACACGCCCCCTGGAGGCTGCCGGGAAGTGCTCCTGCCCTCCCAGCCTCTGCTGGCCGTGGCTCCCGGGCTCGTGGCCGCGTCGCTGCAGTCTCTGCCTCGTCTGCGCGGCCCCTCTGTATCTGCCTAGTCTGTGTGTCTCTTACCAGGACACGCGTGGCTGGTTGAGGGCCACTCCGATCATCCAGGGAGATCTGGTCTCCGGACCCTTAACTTGGTCACATCTGCAAAGACCCTTTTCCCAAACAAGGCCATGCTCCCGCGATCCAGGGATGAGGATGTGGACTCATCTTTGGGGGGGGGGGGGGTGCCATTCCGCCCACTCCAAGCACCATCACTCCCAGGAGTACAAACTCCATTGTGACACAGCAGCTCCCCAGGCCTCCCCCCCCACCCCACCCCATTTTTGATGAATGAACAGTTACCTGAACAAGCACAATGGACTGCGGTACAAATGCACTCACCCCCAAGGTGTGCACTGACCACCCTGCAGTAGATACTTCATGTGGGTGGAGCATGTGGGTTCCACCTCCACAGAGCTGTGCCTCAGGGACGCCCGGCCATCACGTGGGCGAGATTGTACGGCTTGTGGGGCTGTGGGGTGGTGGTGGGTGAGCACCGCAACCACGTCTCCAGCACTAAACGGGGTGTTGAGCGTTTAAAGACCCCCAGCACCACCAAGCATCTCCGTGTGTTTGTTGAAATTCACTAACATAACTCAGTAATGGCACTGACTTCGCTATAAGGACTGTATTACAAGGGGACGCAGAGGACTGCCCCGAGCATGTTGCCGTACGCTGGGTGAGCTTGGAAATGGGCAGGTTTAGGAAGGCACAACTCTCAGAGCTGAGGTAGCCGGACCGGCCAGCGCCAATCAGAATCCCACGTCGCAGAGCCTTCTGCAGACCCAAGCCTCTGAGCCGGCCAGGCTGCCGGCGGGTGGAGGCGTCCCTCTCCCGTCCCCACGCGTCTCATTTGTAACCGTTGCATGTGTCATTCAGGGGGAGTTCACATTTGTTTGCTTTTTGACCTTTATTTCCTGCCATATTCCTTCAACCAAATAAGTAAGTAAGTAGTGACTAGTGTGTTTGAGGTGGAAAGTGCGTTCTGCGGGAATGTTGTCATTGCTGGGAGCATCCCAGAGGGAAAGGGCCGGACGTTCTGCCTGGACAAGTACAATCAAAACCTGTTTTCTTTTCTAAAACAAAGACAGCTGATTTCCCTGCCGCCTCTGCCCTATGGCTCTGCTAACACCCAACAGATTATTTTTATTTTTAAAATATATTTTTATTGATTTCATAGAGGAAGGGAGATGGAGAGAGAGACATTAATGATGAGAGAATCATCGATCAGATGCCTCTTGTACGCCCTCCACTGAAGATCAAGCCTGCAACCTGGGCATCGAACCATGACCTCCTGGTTCCTATGTCGAGGCTCAACCACTGAGCCACGCCGGCCGGGCCAGGTTTGTTTATTGTTAATTAAAAAATAAATTTTTCAGTAAATTTGTACGTTTATTATATACAAGCAGAAAAGAGAAAGTAACAAGGTCACACAGTCCAGAGCCGCCGTTGACTTTGGGGGGACACCCATCCAGACAGCGCTGCTCAGGGGAGACAGATGGGCAGAGATGGCCCCGGCCGTCGGGTCCTGCTGTAAACGCTGCTTCGGCAGCTCATTTTCCTTCCATCGTGAGCAGAAAGGGGAACTGCAGTGAAACCGAGCACAGCGATAAACATGCTTCCTACCACAGCGAGATTATTTCCTGAAAAGATTGCTCTCTGGTTAAGAAAAAGGATCATGAGAACCATCGAGGGTTGGCGACAGTTTTCAATTTCAGGCGTCTGCTGGCTCGGCACCGCGGCTCCCGAAGTGCGGTGGCCCCTCCACGGCGTCTCAGGTTCCTGTACAGAGCGAGCGGCCACAGCGGCCAGGATCGGGAGTCGGGCTGTCACCCGGCGCGGCCCGGGGCCTGCCGAGTGCCGTGGGCTCTGTCCCACCAGCACCTCCGCTGTTTCCTCCCGCCCCCGCCCGGAGCACCGGGAAGGGACACTGAGGGGGAGGGTGTCTTTCTGCGTCACACTGAGCGGCCCCAGCTCTGCTGTGGGGCCCGGGCGTGGGAAGAGGTTCGTCAGCTGCTTAGAAAGAAGCTCCCGCCACCGCAGCCGTGTCCACCTGGAGAGGCTGTGGGTGTGGGCTGGCGGCCACTTAGAAGTCACTGGTTTGTTTAAATGTGAAAACATGAACGCCCGAAGGATCTAAAAAATGACAGCTCGCTCGGTGGGCCTCCTCTGCTGGCCGGTGGCTTTGCCCTCTTCTTTGTGCAGACGAACTGCCTTTTGCTCCTAGCCTGTTGCTTCCTTGTGTTCCCCTCCCCTGGGACTTCCCGGCGTGTAGACGTGACTTTGACCTGACTCTGACCCCGCGAGAATAAGGTGGCCGAGCTGACGCGTGCTGGGCGCTGGCCCGCCGGAGGTGACGGGAGGTTGCCGTGGCGTTCGTGTTCCAGCCGGGCAGACGGCGCCAGAGCACACACTCAGTGCCCATTGCGAGTAGCGGCAGGAAAGGAAGGGGCACCGTGGCCGAGCGTGGCTGCCGGCGTGCAGTTTCCAGGTCGCGTGGCATTTGCATGTTTAGTGTTGAAAGGAATTGCCGCGCCGTGTCTCAGCGGCTGTACGGTGGTGTATTTGTTTTTCTTGGTTCATTCTTTGAAATCTCAGTAGTCGGAGGGAAGACCTCAGGACACTGCCCGGGTGGCCAGCGCTCTGTGGGTTGGGGCAGAGGGAGCCCCTGCTGGGCCCTGCCGAGCCTGTGTGTGGTGCCTGAGTCCGTTCCAAGGCCCGGCCAGCCCCCAGGCCTGGCTCGCAGCAGCAAGAAAGGGGAGGTTCCTGCTGTAGATTCCTAGTGCTGAGCTGGAGGCGTCTCTCCCTTCGATTTGTTAAGCTGTGCCCACTCTTTAGGGCCCGGGGCCCTTCATCTGTGTGTGTCCTGCTGCAGGCGTGGGCTATGGGCCTCGTCTTTGTTCTCTTACTCCACCAAGTTGTGCAGGTGTTCTGCATGTGTGCGTGCATGTGCTCTTCTGCATGTGTGCGTGCATGCATGTGTGGAGCCGTGTGGGAGCCTCCGGTGGGCATGGCTCGAGGGGGCAGTGGCGGCAGTGCAGCCAGGGCCCTACCCTGTGACTGTGGAGAGGAAGGAAGTAGTGAAAATAGGGGTGTGGGGGCAGAAGGGGGGTGGTGTGCAGGAAGCAGGGAGGACTGGCACAGGCTTGAGGGAGAGAACGGGCAAATAGTGGGGACCGCGTGCTGCTGAACCTCAGGTCCAGAAAGCAGGTTGCGGTGGGTGGAAGGAAACTAGAGCAGGAGGGACCACCCTCCATCCCCCCCTCACCTCCCGAGAGGAAGGAGAGGGCAGAAGGAAACCCCTGTGGGGCAAACAGTCCCCTCCCAGCTCAGGGTCCGCTCGCCCGATGGTGACCGCAGCGGGGGAGCTGCAGTGGGCGGGGTGGGAGCGAGGGGAGCAGGCTCAGGGGCACCAATCGCCTTCCCAGGGCCCCAGGCCTGAAGGTCATGGGTCATGATGTCGGCCCACTGGCCCCTCCAATAGTGGTTCTTTAACTTCCCCTGGAGCAGCAGACACTTGGTCTGAAAAAACCTGTTTCCTCCTGGGAGGAGCCAGGTGTTCCCGTCAGCACCGCCACTGAGGAGCGGTCCGGGACAGAGCCCGCCCTGCAGGCTCGCGGGGAGGGAGGTGGTTTGTTCTCTAAGAACGGGAAGCCATCCACACGAGGCAGCCGAGGGGCTGGCCGGAAACTAACACGCTTGGGTTCTCCCCGTCCTGTGTTCCCTGCAGACACAGAGCGTCCAGCTTAACAAAGAAATGACGCTCGCCAGCAACCGGAGCCTGGCCGAGGGGAACCTCCTGTACCAGCCCCAGCTGGACGCGCGGAAGGCGTGCTTGACCCAGAAATACCAGGAGCTGCAGGTGCTGTTCGAAGCCTACCAGATCAAGAAGACCCAACTAGGTAACTTGGGGCCATGAGCTCGGCCAGGAACGGAGCTGGGAGCCCTCTCCCAGCTGCTGCGGCCGGGAGAGCAGTGTTCTTCTGGGGAGACCTCGGAGGAAGGGGCGGCCTGGGGAGTGTCTGAACCGCGAGGCTCCGCTGCGTCACCTGTGCGGTTAGGCCCTCAGAGTTAGTGTTGAAATGATTGTCACCGGGACGTTGCATTTTAATGTCTCACTTTAATTTTCAGCCATGAGAGAAGGTGGGAACAGAATAGAGTCCTGGGAGCTTTGGGTAGGTTTCAGGGAGAATTCTTGGTTAGGAGGTTAAAAACCACCCCCTTAGAGGTCACAGGGGCATCGGATAGCCTGGTCCCCCCACTGTCTCCATAACTTCGGTAAAAATGGGCCAGAACACACCTAGCCAGACAGTGAAAGGGAAGCGGCCGCCTGGTGCCCCGTGCGTGAGGATGCAGACTGCGCAGCCCTTGGGCGTGACAGACACGCACACTCCACCCCGGGCGTGCCAGTCCCCAAGTGGGTGTTGATGTGGCTCAGAGGCTGTGGCTTTACTGTTGGCTGGACTTGGGGACCATCTGCATGTCCACTGGACGGTGATGGGCTCCACGGGGTGGCAGGCAGGAAGTGCGATGTCGTGAGGGGAGTGTGGAGGGAGTCGCATGCTCAGTATCAGCCCCAGTCCCCCGGGGGGCAGGGGGACCTGGGCTCTGGGGCGAGGTGCACCTGTCCTCAGATTTAGTCTGGCTTCCTGGAGAGTCCTCACCAGTGTGACTGCTGTCGCCTCTCCAGCTACAATGCTTGTGCTTTGAAGGGGGAGGGGAGGGGTGTGGTTGAGAGGCTGAGGCCCTGTGATTTCCGAGCGTCAGCCCCCCTGCTCACCCTGCCTCTGGCTTCTTCCAGACAGACAGCCCAGCAGTGCTTCGCTGGAGACCCTGTTAGCACTTCTTCAGGCCGAAGGAGCCAAGATTGAGGAAGACACAGAGGTAAACAGCCAGTGTCCCGGCCCAGTTCCCTCGGGGACGGTGCCTCCCAGGCTGCTCCTGAACCAAGTGGCCTGGGCTGGGGTGCAGCAGGGAGTGGGGTCCTCAGGTGAGGGGTGCCTGTTGTGCTGACCTAGCGAGGGTCTCATGGGCGCTGGGGTGCCATCTGCTCTGAGTCAGTAGGTGGGAAGTGCCCACGGGACTCAGCCAAGCAGTGGAGGCTGGAGCCTCACTAAGTGAGGCCATGAATCTGGGGGACAGTTGTAGCTGCGAGTCTGGCATAGGGGTCCAGATGGGACCCTGGTGGGCACAAGCTAGTTTTGGTCCTGCTGAGCCCATGTGTGTCAGGATGCAGCCAGTGGAGGGAGCAGACGCCTCGGGCTGGCGTAGGAGAGGGTTGGAACTGGGCGCGGTGCTGTCCTATCCGGGCCGTGGGGCCCCCTGCATCCTGAGGCCGGCTCTCCCAGCCTGCTGCCGTCCAGTTTGTGGTTGGGAGGTGGGCCCGTGGGGTCAGCCAGGCCTGCCGTGCAGAGCAGTGGGGGATGGAGCTGCGGTGACCGGAGGAGGGCCCGAGTTGGGAGGAAGTTGGGGTGCCTCTCCGAGCTGCTGGGTGGTGGAGGGAGAGTCCTCCCCCCAGGGCTGGGCTGCCCCTGTGACCAGGTGTCCCCTGCTGCTTTCAGGACATGGCAGAGAAGTTTCTTGAGGGAGAGCTGCCTCTGGACTCTTTCATCGACGTCTACCAGAGCCAGCGGAAACTGGCCCACGTGCGGAGAGTGAAGATCGAGAAGCTGCAGGAGATGGTGCTAAAGGGACAGAGACTCCCGCAGGCCCCGGCCCCACCGTCGTCCAGGGTGCCCGAGCCAGTGCCCGCCGCCCCGGAGGCCAGCGGGCCCCCCTCCGTCATGCCTCGGCGCATCCCGCCCCCTGTGCCTGCAGGACGCTTTGCCACACCGTTTACCGCTGCCATGGGCTCAGCACAGGCCCCGCTGTACCCTCCCCTGCCCCCCCGCATGGGCCTCCCCGCGCAGTTTGTGTCGCCATACCCACCACCTCTCCCCCAGAGACCCCCGCCCCGGCTGCCTCACCAGCCAGGCTTCATCCTGCAGTGAGGGTCCCTCGTCCATCCGTCCTGGGAGACTTGCGCCAGCCTGCTGGCCAGGCCCACACTTGGGAGGGAGCGAGGCCCAGGGCCCAGGGGCGTCTGCTGTGAGCACTAGGTTGGGGTGAGTAGTGTGGGGCCCTGGTTCGTGCTGGTGCCAGTTTGCAGTCTCCATTCTCGTGCGGTTTGTGTTGTGAGCCCACGAACCTGGGGAAGCTGCCCTCCCTCCCCTTTAGAATCATGGTCCTCCCGTTGCAGCTTTTGCGGTCAGCATGGTTCCTGGTTTCTGCTTTATTTTCACGACCGTTTGTCCCAGCCTGCCCAGCCCAGTGAGGGTCGGCCGAGGGGCCAGCCCAGAAGGTGCTCACTGAGTCTGTGGGGTGACAGCCCCCCACTCCCCCAAAACCTCAGTCCTTCAAAGCCACCCGCAGGGTTTGCACTTGGCCCACTGCCCAGTGGAGGTGGGTGGAGCTGGACTTTGCACATCGCTGTCCTCCCAGCTCCCCCCACCCCCCCTCAGCCGGTCCCAGGGTTTCTATGAAGAAATACTCCAATATTTTTACTACGTGTGTACATTTCCTGTTTTATATTGGGGAAGAAAACTTTTTGACACAAAACCATTCAGGGAAACTTTATAAAAAATGCACATGTTGTTTTGAGCAGATGGAAGTGTAGGTGACATGAATCCTGTCACAGGCATAGGGTGCACAGCTTCACCGGTGCCGTGGGGGCTGCCCCAGGCCATGGGATGGCTGCAGCCCCCAGCTGCCTTCAGGAAGGGCACGTCACGCTGTGTTGTAAGAAGTTCGTGCCCTGAACCCAGGTCCTCTTAGCCAATATTCTCAGCCTCTGGCTGGGCCCTGGGAAGAGAGAGGGTGCCAAGCTAGGACCCTCTTCCTGCCCCTCTAGGTGCCCCACGTGCTAAATTCCGAGGTGGGGGTGGGTGTCACCACCTACCTGTGGACAAACAGGCCAGGTGCTCAGGTGGGGAACTCCTGGCTGCTGCCGAAGCTCAGACGGTCTGTCCCAGTGGCCACAGGTGAGGTCACCACCTTTGTACTCAGTGTCCACACAGTTCTCCTGGACTTGAACTCTACTGTATTGTACCTGTTTTCAGAGAAACAGAGCTGTATAGGACCATTTGCTGCCATGCCAGTCAGGGGCGCCTGCCATGTTCTGTGAACCCTGAGAGCAGTGCCACCCACCCCATACCTCTGCCGCTGAGCAGGACGCAGCTGACATGGGCTCCGTGTGGACGTGGCAAAGCGGCTGCCAGGCCGGCCACGCCATTGCTCCAGGGCCATGTCTGAGCTGTGGTTGTGAGGCTGTGGGACCCTTTTTAATAAATAGAGAATTGTTACTAACAGTCCTGTCATTTATTTACCTGTGCGTGATGCTTGGTTCTAGAACATCAGTGACGCTGACTGGTGTGTTGCTGAAGTTAAAAATGAAAGCCACCGAGACGGCGGCTATAGCCGCCTCGTCCAGGGCCCTGGCCCTGAGGCAGAGCCTTTGTCCTGGGTCCTCGCCGGTCTCAGTGGACGTGGCCCTGGCTGCTGCCCACCTGATGGAAATGAACACATTCCTGCTTGTTTCAAATGACAGAAGTCAGTGGCTGACATTCTGCTCTGGGGACCTCCCCACCCCCCGAGGCTGAGCCAAGCCTGGGACCCTCTGCCCGCTGGCCCTGTCTGCGGATGAGCCTGATGCCCTGGGAGGGACTCTCCTCAGTGGGTGGGTACACAAGGAGCAACCACAGCAGCCTGAGCAAGCTCACCCACCACCGGCTCCTAAACAGACACCAGCCATTATTTGTGTAGCACAGTGCGCTGGGGTTTTCCTGAGAAAGCAATTACTTCTTTAAAGAGAATTTGTATCTAACAGTTTCTCTTCCCCAGTGGCTCTAAGCTTACAGGCAGAATCCAGTCCACCCCAATGCAGGCGCTGGCCGGGGCAGGGGTGTGGCTCCTCACCAGCCTTGTGTGGTCCTCTCCTGCCCCCTGGGCTCCTTGGCTCACGAGAAGGGCGGGGGGGGGGGGGAGGGGGGGGGGTGGCGGGACAGTACCTGACCCAAGGCTTCTCATTCGGGGTCTCCAGTTCAAGTGTAGTCGACTTGCACCAATGTTCACTGGAGTGCACTGGGTGAGAGAACAATCTGCTTTAGTCTTCTCAAGCTGTGTTCCCTTATGAATAAGAACAGGCATTGGCCGTGAAAAAGAAAAAAATCTTACCTTTTGCAACAGCGTGGATGGGCCTAGGGCAGGGGTGGGCAAACTTTTTGACTCGAGGGCCACAATGGGTTCTTAAACTGGACCGGAGGGCCGGAACAAAAGCATGGATGGAGTGTTTGTGTGAACTAATATAAATTCAAAGTAAACATCATTACATAAAAGGGTACGGTTTGTTTTTTTGTTTTTTTGTTTTATTCATTTCAAACGGGCCGGATCCGGCCCGCGGGCCGTAGTTTGCCCACGGCTGGCCTAGAGAGTATTATGCTAAGTGACATGAGCCTGTCAGAGAAAGACAAGCACCATGTGATTTCACTCATGTGGAATCTAATGACCAAAATGAACTAACAAAAAAGAAACACTCACAGATACAGAGAACAGACTGACAGCTGTCAGAGGGGCAGGGAGATGGGGGCTGGGTGATAAAGGTGAAGGGATTAGGCAAGAAGAAAAAAAAAACCTCAGACACAGACAACAATATGGTGATTACAGATGAAAGGTGAGGGGAGGAGACAGAAGGGGTAAAGGGGGATGGTGATGGAAGGAAACTTGACTTGGGGTGGTGAACACAATACAATATACAAATGGTGTATTATACAGTTACACACTTAAACCTATACAGTTTCATTAGCCAATCACTCCAATAAGTTCAATGAAGATACAGTACTGACCAGGTAGGTGCTTGTCAAGATACCTAGGCACATTAAAAACCACCACAAAAGCCCACCATCATGGACTCCGGTTCTTGCAAAGTAAACGGACAACAATCATGTAAATGAACAAATCAGTAATATGCTTTCTAGAGAGTAGTGCTATGAATACAACATGGCAACAGGACAGAGCAATTCTTCCATTCAAGTAACTTTTTCATTCATCCCATTTGAAAACACGTTTGTCTGTTACTGCTCGTCTTGCTAACACCTCCTGAGGGTGCCACGTGTGCCAGGCAGCCATAAGCAGTTACACGCATTATCTTCCAAGCCCTCAGCACTCCCACCCAGTGGGTGCTGTGAGGGTCTGCATCTTATACAGGAAGATAGACTCCCCGTCTCCCTTCCAGACAGACACGAGGCTGGAAGAGGCACAACGGGGATTCACACGAATCCACAGCTGTCCAGTGAGGCAGCCGTATGTACACCCTCAGAAATGTCCCCTCACCAGGGTACCCTCCCCTTCTTGCCAGACAAGCTCCGTGAGCTGGAGGTCTTGTCTGTGCGGCTGTATCTCCAGTACCTGGCGTGCTGTTTGGCACAGCAAAGGTGCTCAGTAAATTTTTTTTTTTTTCCAAAGGAAAACAACCCTACAAAAGCACAGGCAGGGGCCCCTCCCTGTTTACGGAGACAAGTTTCCAAAGCACTGACCCACCTGGACCTCAGTCACCCTGGGGACAGGAGTGGACGCCTGTCTGAGGACATGGTGGGAGTTCTGCCAGCTGGGCAGGAGCCACCTTGACCTTTCCTCCCCCCCCCTCCCCCGACCGGCACTGTCCTTTTGTTCCAGATGCTTGATCTAAGGCCAAGGCAGGCGGCCAGGAGCCTTCCCTCTCCCCAGTGCCCTCCTGGGAACCAGCTGTGTGCTGGGGGGAGGGGATCAAGAGCCATGGGGCTGGGGACCTGCCTTGGATGTGGCCTGGGGGCCGTGGAGAAAAGCCCTAAACCACCACTCACCACATAGGCGTAAACTTCCCGGAGAAACCATCTCAATGACACCTGGCAGAAGCAGCAGCACCAGCCAGGGCTGCTGTGGTTGCAATGCCGTTATCACCTGCAGAAACTAAGCGAGTCCCAACCCAGCTCCTGGCCCCCGAGAAATAAACAGCCCGGGCGCAGCCCCTCTCTGGGGCAACAGTGACCACAGTCAAAGTGCATTTTATTGCCAATTGGACCCCAATCCAAGGAAACACTGAACTCTAAGCCCAGAAATGGATCCTTGTGCTCATCCCGACACAGTGGGTACTGGACGCAGGGGGTGGTCCTTGCAGGGCTGGTCCCTTCCCCCAGCCAGGGCCCCACCCCACCCAACCACTCCCCAAGGGGGTCTCAGCAATGCAGTTCTTTCGAGTCCTCCTTCAGTGGCAGGGAGGCCACGCTGGGCTTCAGCACCGGGCGGAGGGGGGCTGCCCCTTCTGTGGAGCACAAGGCCCCGTTGGTCCGGAGGATGGCGGCAGGGCGATGGTTCTGGGCTCCTTCTGGCTGAGCTGGAAACCTCGTGGCCCGGGAGGTGGAGGTGGGCAGTGGGGAGAGCCCAGAGCTGGGCCTCCAGGGCCGGGGCAGCCAGATAGGAATGAAAAACAGGAAGCGGGTGGCCACCGGATTTCAGCGGGAACAGACTCCAGGAGCGAGGGCACCACCTGTGCCCAGCAGGCATGGGGCTGTCAACCCTGCCTGGCCCACGGCAGAACCCGGCCCGCCTCTCCCCGCAGACCACGTCCTCCTCAGCACCCCCATCACTGGTGCCGGAGAGCGAGGCCCGAGGAGAAAGGGCGCTGTCCCAGACCTGCTTTGCCCAAGTCCCATCTCCATGGAATCAGTGTCCCAGAGACCAAAGCCCAGGGAGACTCACGCAGTCCCGACAGCCAGCACTGTGTTCTGCTCACCTCTCACCTCAGACCTCGAGTCCAAAAGGCAGGGGAGGCCCTGCCCACCCCACCCCCATGGCCCTGCTCCCAGCGCGCCGAATACAAACTCACAAGGAAAAGCTCTAGCTGGGAACATACAAATGTCTGTGTATTTCCTGAACCGTGGCTCCGGCCTGCTGAGCCTGGATGCTCTCGGTCCCGTGGCAGGTAGATAACTCACATCCAGGAGAACTGCCCTGTCAGCCCCGCGCGGCCGAGATCCAGGGGCGCAGCAAGGGCTGGACCTCGCGGACACTGATCCAGGCCGTGGGCAGGCCCGGCCACCTGGTGCGCGCGCAGCGCCCCTCAATGCCTCCTTAGCCGAGTCACGGTAGCCACGTGAGACCCAGGCCGCCTGCCAGGCTCCCGCTGGACCCCTCAGAGCCTAGGAGTTCATGAGTTGAGCAGGGCAGACGCCATCCTTTTTGTCCAGCTGCAGGGGTCAAAGGTGAGGTGCTCACTGGCATTGCAAGGGGTGCATAACCAGCCAGGCCCCCTGCGTCCTTGTCTCCTCAGCCCCCACATCTTCCTCTTGAGTGAGCCGAGCTCCCCATGTTGCTGGGTCAGCATTTTGCTCCTGCTGGTCAGGGTTTTCTGACCTTCCCAAGGCCCCGGGTCCCGCAGACCTGGGAGCAAGAGGCTGGCAGCACCCTCCAGGGCCCCTCCCCATCCCAGCACTGGTGCCTGGCACCTGGTGGTCCTACCTGGTGGTCCTGCCTGGGGGCCACACTGGGCTTCTGGGCCAGGGGTGGCTTCCTGGAGGTCCCGCTGTGGGGGGCAGCGCTGGGCAGGCCGGGCTCCTCCTCTGCAGGCGTCCCCACCCCCACGGCCAGTGCGTAGTGCTGCTTCCGAAGCTCCCCCAGCCGCACGCGCTCCGCCTCCAGCGTCTTCTCCAGCTCCAGGACCCGCACCTGCCGGCGAGCACCGCTCAGCAGAGCCCTCTGGGAGCTCGGCCCTAGGGGAGGGACAGGCCTAGAGGCTGCCCAAGCACCAGGAAGTGGGGTGGCTCTGGGGTTGGCACAGGCACCTACCTGGGTCTCCATCTCCTGCTTCTTCAGCTTGATGAGGGACATGCCAGAGAAGTCCATGGTGTCTGTGACCAGAGACGGGGTAAGTGTCTGGGTCCCCGCCCGCTCCCCCCACGCCACTCCCAGGCCCCCAGCTGTCACCTCTCTCTTCGATCTGCTCTTGGCCCAACTTAGTGGAGGCCACCACGTTGGCGGCCATCACGTTGACGGTGCGGGAGCACTCCTGCAGGCGGCTCAGGTGGCGGCTGTCCTTGTTGGCCTTCACCTGGGGAGCGTGGGGTGGGTCAGGATGCAGGGTGGCCCCCATGGGACCACCCATCCCGAGGTCTCCTGGCCACATGCGGTGTATCCATCGCAGCCAGGAGGTGGGGAACCTGAGCAGAGGCTGGGCCGGGCATGGAGCCTCACCTTGGAGGCTGCCACCAGCTGGGCCGTGCTGGCCGCAATCTCGTGGGAGCAGACGATGAGCTCTTCGTACTTGCCCGTGTGAAGCACCACCTTGTCAGCCGACTCCCTGGGGGCAGAGCGGGCAGGGCCTGGGTCTCCAACCCCAGATCAGGGCCACCCCACACTCCCTCCTCAGACCCTGGGCACCACACTCCCTGCTGCCCCCCACCTGGGGCGACATACACCAGCTGCGTGGCTCCCCAGCCGACGGCCTTGGAGGCGGAGATGAGGCCTTCAGTCCACCTTGAGTTCTTGGCGTAAAATTCCTGCTGCGTGGCTGCCCCCTAGTGGCGACAAGAGGGCAGGGCAGACCAGTCAATGACATCACAGGTGGCAATGGGTGCTCCCCAGGGCTCTTCTCTGGGCTGTGGGGGTTCAGCTGACTCCCAGGCAGGTGTGCACCCTGGGGGGTCTCATCACTGAACCCTTCAGGAGTCTCCTGCCCAAAGGAGCCCTGTGGCCTGGGATGAGAAGGGCGCTGGAGCAGTGGCCCTTCAGGAGTAGCTGAGGGACCCCTACCCTCTCCCCCGAAGGCCCAGCTCACCCTGCCGCTTTCCACAATCTCCTTCTGCAGGCTGGTGGATGTGGTCACCAGGAGCCGGATGGCCTGCCAAGACCAAGCCTTATGTCACACTGGGGGCAGCCTTCTCAGCTACAGCCCGCCCCTGGGGTCCCAGCTGGCCACTCACCTTCATGAGGTCTGTGCAGGACTTGAGGATCCTATGGGTTGGAGGGGTGGGAAGAGAGGGCAAGCTGCTGTAGTGTGGCCAGGAAGCCACAGGGGGTTAGGAATTTGGGGGGCTAGGGGGCCTGACACGGGGCCCACAGGATGGGGTGTGCTGCTCATCCCCGTGCTTCTGGAAAGCGAGCAGTTCGGAGGGCAGATGGCTGGTGCTGGGAGGCGGTGGGAACCTGCTTCGTCCCGGGCCTGGGGGCAGAAGTGGGCTCACCTCTCATTCACCTCCAGTTTCACCCCTGAGCTGGCGTGGCGGGCCTGGTTCATCATGTCCTG